TACATGTACTTCCAAATAATAGAACATTTGTGAAAATGATTCAATAAAATGATCTATTATCATGTACCACATGAAGAGAAGGAGAAGCCACTAAAATTATGTACAGAAATATACTTAAGAGTTAAGTCATACAAAAGAAACCAACAAGTTTTTACCACAACTACAGATGTTACTAGCTCCAGATTTAAAAAAGTTTTCCAGGGAGCTAGGAAGGTGGCTTAGTGGTAGAGCGCTTGCCTTGCATGCATGAGGCCCTGGGTTTGATTCCTCAGCACCACATAAGCAAAAAGAAAAAAGCTGGAAGTGGTGTTGTGGCCCAAGTGGTAGAGCACTAGCCCTGAGCTGAAGAGCTGAGGGACAGCGCCCAGGCCCAGAGTTCAGGCCCCACGACCGGACCCCCCCCCCAAAAAAAGGGTACTTCTTGGGGCTGGGAAGGTGGCTCAGGGGTAGAGCACTTGCCTTGCATGCCTGAGGCTCTGGGTTCGATTCCTCAGCACCACATTAGTAAAAAGAAAAAAGCCCGAAGTGGTGCTGTGGCTCAAGTGGTAGAGCGCTAGCCTTGAGCTGAAGAGCTGAGGGACAGCGCCCAGTCCCAGAGTTCAAGCCCCACGTCGGGACCCAAAACAAACAAACAAACAAACAAAAAAAACAATGACAAAAAGTTTTCCAGAGGCTGGGAAGGTGTCTCAGAGGTAGAGCGCTTGCCTTGCATGCCTGAGGCCCTGGGTTCGATTCCTCAGCACCACATAAGAAAAAAGCCGGAAGTGGCGCTGTGGCTCAAGTGGTAGAGCGCTAGCCTTGAGCTGAAGAGCTGAGGGACAGTGCCCAGGCCCAGAGTTCAGGCCCCACGACCAGACCCCCCCCCCAAAAAAAAAGTTTTCCAGTCATCTCAAGGGGACTGGCACAGCTGGCTGAGCATAACAAACTTTAGTGCTAGGGAGGGAAATCAAAGCACATGTCACATGCAGATAGGTCTTGAAGCCTACCAGTGCTGCCTTTCCACAGAGGAAGTGTATCTGTGTAATATCCAAAGTATGGAAGAAGCTATTCCATTGGCTAGTGAATTACCCAGAGCATATAAGAAGCTATTCCATTGGCTAATGAATCACCCAGCGCATATAGGAAGCTGTCATTGGCTAGTGAATCACCCAGAGGATATAAGAAGCTAGTCCACTGGCTAGTGCTGCTGTAGCACAGCATCAGGGACGATTTAAACAACAGAAATTTATTTTCTGTGAATTCGGGAGACCAGACATCCAAGATCAATGTGTTAAGAGGGTTGGTTTCTTTTTTCTTTTCTTCCTTCCTTCCTTTTTTTTTTTTTTTGCCAGTATTGAGGTTTGAATTTAGGGCCTCAAGCACCCATTTGGCTTTTTTTCCTCTCCATTCAAGGCTGGGGCTCTACCACTTGAGCCACACCTCCACATTTATTTTTTTGCTGGTTCACTGGAGATAAGAGCCTCACAGACTTTGCAGCCTGGGCTGGATCTCAGCTTCTTGATCCAGGATTACAGGTGTGCACAGGATTGGCTTCTCCAGCAGCCCTCTTCCCACCCCATCCTCACATGATGTGATGTGTCCATGTCTGTGTCCAGTGTTCCTTTTCCTGTGAGGACACGGGTTCTGTTGGATGAAGACCCATCCTAATGTTTTCATTTCACTCAACTGCCTCTTTAAAGAGCCTGTCTTCAAATGCAGTCCTGTTCTAAAGCAGCGGGGTTAGGAGTCAAGCACGTGATTAGGGAGGGCACGAATCTGCTCCTAACCTGGGCGCTGGGGGTTGGCTGGAGGAAGCAGCTTCTTAGGTGCAGTTATATGGATGGAGGCACTTGGGCTATTACCTTGAACTAGTAAGCAGGAGTTTAGTGGGTGGACTGCAGTGGGGAGGTGGGAGGGCAGGCAGTGTCTCCAGGGAGTTGGGAAAGAGGGTGCAGCCTGGCCTCAGGGAACTGGCTTCTCAGAAACTTTGGGCCCTGAACTCAAATTCCAGAGGACTGAGGAAAACCATTTAAGACCTGCTTCTAGACAGAGCCATCAACAACTGTGTGGCAACTTACGTAAAAGAGCATTAGCACTGGGACAGGAGATGTGCAGGTCTGCTGAGGACCCTGTGGCAACTTCCAAAGAAGGGGGAATTCCACGGTGCCTACCAGGGCTCGCTTAGAAACACATGTATTCTGCCAGCTAACAAGTATGATTTCTGACCAACACAGACAATGCCTAGCAGAGTGACTTCTGAAGACGTGCAAAGCAAAGCCATACACTGTAACAAATCTCTCTCTCTTTTTTTTTTTGGTTAGTCGTGGGGCTTGAATTCTGGGCCTGGGTGCTCTTCAGCTCAAGGTGAGCGCTCTACCACTTGAGCCACAGCGCCACTTCCTGTAACAAATTTCTTTCATTGCCCATCGTGGAAGATGAAGTCCAGTCGTGGGAAGGTAAAATAAAAACTGAGAGGCCCAGCCACATATCAAGCAATGATCATGAAACAAATTCCGGATTTTTCTTCAGCATGAGAATTCTGAATTTAAGCCAAAGAAATTTGTCTGTTTCACTTGTCGACTAACCCCAGTCCCTTCTGGAAAAGGTAAAGGCAAATATAATGAATAAATAATAGTATATTTGCCTCAGTAGGAAAAAAAACCCACCAAGGCTGTGTGCGTGTGTGTGTGCGTGCGCAAGCAACATTCTTTTCCTTGTTTCAATGTTAAATTGCATACTTGGCTTAAAGCAAAGCTTTAAAAATAAAAAGAAAGGATGAAAAGAAAAAATGGCTTGACATCCGTATGGGTTAGCAGAAACTCAAAGGAAATCATTCTGCATAAGCGAGGGACACTGGGCAGAGAGTGGCCTTTCCTTTCCTGGCCTCCTTTCTTCAGGTCTGTAGGGACTGATTGTGTGCCTTCCCCAGCCTGGTTCCTAACCGTCTGCCGCAGCTTCCCGCAGGTCTTTAGCAGGTAACTGGGGAGCATGAGGGCACAGGGTGTGGCCTCCATGCTGTCTTTCTCTCTCTGCTAGTGGGGACACTGACAGGTGGCTGTAGTCATTCAAGCTACCTTTATCATGCCTTAAACTATTAACATGTATGTTATCTTGAAAAATAATGACTATTTTGAAACATAACTAAATGTGCCCACATTGTAAAGAAGTGATATTAATTTATATAAGCATTAGAAGAATAAAGCAACTTTTCTTAGCAGGGAGCATAGGAGGAGATTTAATAGGAAGGAGAATAGTAATTACAGAAATCAAGTTACTAGAGTTAAGCCCCTCCCCCCAAAAATCAATGATGTGTTTACATTTTTCTACCAGGAAGGATAATTTCTAGTAAGAGAACTGTTGTGTGTTTTGTTTTGTTTTGCTAGTTCTGGGGCTTGAACTCTGAGCTCTGTCCCTGAACTTCGCTGTGCTCAAGGCTAGTGCATTACCACTTGAGCCACAGTGCCACTTCCAGCTTTTCTGAGTAGTTTATTGGAGATAAGAGTCTCAGGGACTTTCCTGTCCAGGCTGGCTTTGAACCTTGAGCCTCAGATTTCAGCCTCCTGAGTAGCTAGGATTACAGGCGAGAGCCACCGACGCCTGGCCTACTGTCACTTTCGTCAGAGTACTTGAAAGTGCTCTGGACTGGGAGCATGGCTCCATTAATAGTGCACCTGCCCATTAAGTTCAAAGCCAAAGACACCAAGGTCAAACCCCAGTACCACCACCACCACTAAGGAAAAAGAAAAGGCAAGAAAGCTGGTGTGTTGCTTCCTTGTTGATTCCCCTTGCTTGCTCTGCTTGGCAGTTGGCCTCCTGGGGCAGAGCACAGGGCAGCAGCAGGGCAGGTAAACACTGTCTGACAATGGCAGCACTAACTTGGATGAGTGAAAAGGCCTGGGGACCCTTCCATTTTCTCATCACAGAGAAGGCCATTTATTAAGTGGGGACAAGTAGAAACTATTTCTAACCTAGACTAGGCAATTAACCTATTGATCCAATCAGCTGCTGCTATCTTGAGCTGATTTTTCTATTTCACTCAAAACAGGTTCAGACTCAAAAGACTCTCTTTCCAGGGTGCCATGGGTTCCACTTGTTAACCAGTGATGACAGTGCTTTCCATGTGCATTGTGACAGAGGGACAGGGCGTGGACCCAGGAACTCTGCTCTGTAATTAGAGGTTTCCTGTCAACCCGTTGCTTAGGCGCTGTCCTTGGAGCTTTTTCACTCAAGGCCAGTGCTCTACAACTTGCCACAGCGCCACTTCCAGCTTTCCAGTGGTTAATTGGAGATCTGAGTCTCATAGACTTTCCTGCATAGGCTGGGCTTTGAACTGTGATCCTCAGATCTCAGCCTCCTGAGTAGCTAGGATTGCAGGTGTGAGCCACCAGCATCTGGCTAAGTTTTCAACTCTTAAACCGTGTGTGTGTGTGTGTGTGTGTGTGTGTGTGTGTGTGTGTGTGTGTGGCCTCAGCTTTCTTGCTCACGGCTGGCACTCACCACTTGAGCCACATCCCCACTCCAGGATTTTATTTTATTTTATTGCCAGCCTAGGGCTTGAACTCAGGGCCTGGGTACTGTTCCTAAGACTCTTTGTGCTCAAGGCTAGTGCTCTACCACTTGAGCCACAGTGCCACTCCCAGCCCAGCATTTTACTGATGAGTTGGAGATGGAATCTTAGGGACTTTTCTGCATGCAGCTAAGGTTGAAGATGCTTACCCAGCCTTGAGCCATCTCCAACCCTGCCTGCAACCAAGCAGTGGATGTTCATGCCACACCTTCACCCCAAAGGAAGCTCAGGTGTCTAGCTGTCTACAACTCTTCCGAACGTTGCCTAGCATGGTCTCAAACTCCCCTGATCCTCTTGCCTGTGCCTCCTAAACATGTGGGACTACAGAATGCTCTGCCATGCCCAGCTTGTGCACTTGTTATGATAACCAACATCAGCTGCTTGCCCCTTCCAATACCTGCCCTGAGTGACTGCTGTGTGCCTCTGAACATGCAGCTTCTGACCCCGAAACTCCCTTCTTCACATGTCCATGTCCCGCAGTCATCAAGCTGATCCTTCCAGCTAGGAATAATCTTTCTCTTAGAACTTTCACATACGAGGGCCGGAGTGTGGCTCAGTGGTGGAGTGCTGGCCTAGCATGCATGAGGCCCTGGGTTCAACTCCTCAGCACCACATAACACAGAAAAAGCCCGAAGTGGCGCTGTGGCTCAAGTGTTGGAGTGCTTCTGGTTTTCTGGTCTTTAGAGATAAGAGTCTCACGGATTTTCCTGCCCAGGCTGGCTTTAAACTGTGATCTTAAGATCTCAGCTTCCTGAATAGCTAGGATCACAGGTGTGAGCCACTGGCACCTGGTGCTTTTGTTATTTTTCAAATATAGTATAACTCTTTTTCCTCCTGCCCATGTAGTAGAGATGGGAAAGGGGCCACCATGCCTAGCCCCTCTCCATCTTGATGGAGTCTTGGAGACGTTCCTGCTTAGGCTGGCCAAAACCCAGAGTCTTCCTGACTAGCTAGAATTGTGTGGAAACCCAGACAATAAAGGAATTCTGGGACAGGAACTGCTATGAAGTAAATGGGATTATTAGCTAGCATAACTGGGATGGCCTGGGGAAGGTAACAGGATTTGGGAGGCAGAGGATTTCCTTTACTGTTTGGCTTTCCACATGATCCATACCTTCCTGCTCCCCCGCCATGAAAAAAGGCTACCATCTTAATAAAGATGAGATCTTTGTTATGGGCAATGGCATATCCATGTGCCTACCTTCCATTCAATAAAATAGTGGAATACTGAAAGAAACAAAAAGATTTGAATGACTATGAATTTGAGGTTATCTAGGCTACACAGCAAGACCTTGTCTCAAAAAAACTGAAGAGGGGATTGGGAAGGTGGCTCAGTGGTAGAGTGCTTGCCTTGCATGCCTGAGGCCCTGGGTTCGATTCCTCAGCACCACATAAGCAAAAAGAAAAAAAAAGCTGGGAGTGGCGCTGTGGCTCAAGTGGTAGTGCACTAGCCTTGAGCTGAAGAGTTGAGGGACAGCGCCCAGGCCCAGAGTTCAGGCCCCATGACTAGACCCAAAAAACAAAAACAAAAACTGAAGAGCTGCAAAACCAGACAAGGATACAATACAGAGAATTAGAATTAGAATTAGTACAGGTGTCTCATTCTAACTACTCAGGAAGCTGAGATGTGAGAATCACAGTTCGGACTAGCCTGGGTGGAAAAGTCTAAGAGACTCATCTTCAAATAATAATCAAGAGCAGAAGCACGCGCCAGTCCCGCGGATCTGTGTCTTGCTTCAACAGTGTTTGGACGGAACAGACCCGGGGACGACTCCTTTCCACCACCAACTGCCTCTCCACTCACCACCTCTGACCCTTATCTTCTCGCCCGTCGCCTGCTTCCAGGACCAACCAACGCCAGTTTTTTTCTGTGGTTAGCTCTGTATTGACGACCAGCCAGGACCTCTCAGATTCGTCAGAATTATTCCACCGAGGTGGAGGCTGCCGTCAGCCACCTGGTCAACCTGCATCTGCGGCCTCCTACACCTGCCTCTCTCTGGGCTACTATTTCGATCGCGACGATGTGGCTCTGGAGGGCGTGGGCCACTTCTTCCGCGAGTTGGCGGAGGAGAAGCGTGAAGACGCAGAACCAGCGCGGCGGCCGCGCTGTTCCAGGATGTGCAGAAACCTTCTCGGGATGAGTGGGGTAAAACCGTGGAAGCCATGGAAGCCGCCCTGGCCTGGAGAAGAGCCTGAACCAGGCCATTGTGGATCTCCATGCCTTGGGTTCTGCTCGCACAGACCCCCATCTCTGTGACTTTCTAGAGAGCCACTTCCTGGATGAAGAGGTGAAGCTCATCAAGAAGATGGGCGACCACTTAACCAACCTCCGCAGGCTGGGGGCGGCCCCTCAGGCCCAGCTGGGCGAGGATCTTTCCGAACGCCTCACCCTCAAACACGACTAGAAAACTCCAGAGTCCGGCAGCCTTTGAGGGGCCATCTCTGCCTCACCAGATATCAGGGTTTCCTCCCGAGCTTCTGCCTCCAGCCATTGGGAAACTTCCTAACTTCCTAAATAAAGCTTTTTGCAGCAAAAAAAAAAAACAATAAGCTAGAAGTAGAGGTGTGGCTGAAGTGTTAGAGTACAGGCAACGAGCAGAAAAAGCCCACCTCGCCGGGTGCCGGTGGCTCACTCCTGTCATCCTAGCTACTCAGGAGGCTAAGATCTGAGGATCACAGTTCAAAGCCAGTCTGGGCAGGAAAGTCCATGAGACATTTTTTTTGTTGTTGTTGTGGGCCTGAACTCTGGGCCTGAGCGCTGTCCCTCAGCTCTTCAGCTCAAGGCTAGCGCTCTACCACTTGAGCCACAGTGCCACTTCTGGCTTTTTCTGCTTATGTGGTGCTGAGAAATTGAACCCAGAGCCTCATGCATGCAAGGCAAGCACTCTACCACTGAGCCACCTTCCCAGCTCCCATAAGACTCTTATCTCCAGTTTACTACCAGAAAACCAGAAGTGGTGCTGTGGCTCAAGTGGTAGAGCGCTAGCCATGAGCTGAAGAGCTGAGGGACAGCGCCCAGGCCCAGATTTCAAGCCCCACGACTGACCAAAAAAAAAAAAGAGAGTGTGAGGCCCTAAAGTCAAGACCTAGAACTGTCTCTGTCCTTCTGTCTGTCTACCTATCTGTCTGCATGTCTCTCTCTCTCACACCACACACACAGATTGTGAACCAATCTCTTTGATCAACACATTTGAAAGATCATACACAATAATAAAGTTAGTTTTACCCAGGGATGTAAGTACAGTTCGATATATATAAATCAATAAATGTAATACAGAGGATTGTGGTTCAAAGCCAGCTTGGGCAGGAAAATCTCTGAGACTCTTATTTCCAATTAATCACCAGAAAACTGGAAGTGGTGCTGTGGCTCAAATGTAGAGCACTCACCTTGAGCTGAAGAACTCAGGGACAGCAAGCAGGCACAAAGTTCAAGCCCCACGACCACCACCGCCAACAACAAAAAACCCAAAATATAATATAGATAAACAGAATCAAGAACAAATATCATATGGTCATCTCAATTGATAAGAAAAAGCCTTTGAGAAAATTCAACACCCTTTCTTGATAAAACTCTGAAGAAATGGGAACAGAAGGAATGCTCCTGAGTATAATGAAGGGTATATAAGACAAACTGAAAGCCAACCTCCTACTAAACAAGAAAAAGCAGAATAATTTCCTCTAATGTCAAGAATGAAATAAAGATGTCCACTCTCCCCACTCTAATTCAATATGATACTTGAATTCCTAGCCAGAGCCATGAGGCAAGAAAAAGAAACAAGAGGGATTCAAATAGGATAGGAAGAAGTCAAATTATCCTATTTTCCAGTGACATGACCCCAAACGTAGAAGACCCTGAAGATTCCACAATGAACCTCATGGATTTGATAGTTTTGGTAATGTAGGAAGATATAAAAATCAACACTCAAAAATCAGTAGCTTTAGCGAAATGCTGGTGACTTGTATCCATACTTCTAGCTACTCAGGAGGCTGACATCCAGAAGAACAGTTTGAATCTAGCCTGGGTAAAAAAAAAAAAAAAAAAAAAAGCCCATAAGATTCCATCACCAAAATAACTAGCAAAAAGCCAGGCTGAAGATTTGACTAAGTGGTAGAGTTCCAGCCAAGCAAGCATGAGGCATGGGGGGGGGGGGGGCGGGGAGGGAGGAGAAATAAATCAATAGCTTTCTTATATGGCAAGAACAAACAGGCTGAGAAAGTAATCAGGAAAACTATTCCATGAACAATAGCTTAGAACAAGTAAAACAGCAAGCTATAAACTTAACCAAAGAGGTGAAAGACCTCTATAACATCTTGAAGGAACGGGCTGGGAAGGTGGCTCAGTGGTAGAGTGCTTGCCTTGCATGCATGAGGCCCTGGGTTCGATTCCTCAGCACCACATAAGCAGAAAAAGCTGGAAGTGGCGCTGTGGCTCAAGTGGTAGAGCACTAGCCTTGAGCTGAAGAGCTGAGGGACAACGCCCAGGCCCAGAGTTCAGGCCCCATGACTGACAGAAAAAAAAAAAAAAAAGATCTTGAAGGAAGAAGTTGAAAACAAGAAACTAGATTTACGGATTGACAGAATCAGTATCATGAAAATGGCCACATAGCCAAAAACAACGTACAGGTTCAATAGAATTCCTGTCAGAAATCCCAATGTCAGTCTTTACAGAAACAGAAAAATCAATACAAAATATGTATGCATATATGTATTGTATCTGCACATATAAATAAAATACATATGCATACACACATATGTACAAAGGGTGAATGTGTATACGTGTGATATATATTCATCACATATGTTTATACACTATACACATTATAGAGATAATTGCACACACACACACACACACACACACACACCCATGCTAGGGACCAAGACTGTTACAGTTTGAATCTGTTCATGCGTTAAATGCTTGGCTTCCCATTTGGGAGGTCCTAGAAGCTTTAGGACACCACACCTTGGTGGTGTCCTGTTCCTGATCCTTGTTTCTGTGTTTCTCATCGGATGTGAGCCGCTCAGCCATATTCTCTGCGGCCTTCCTCCCTAAAGTTGCTCCTGTCAGGCATTTGGTCACAATGACATAAAGAAAGTAGTAGGGCAGAGCTGAACCCCGTCCCCACAACCATATTTTATATAATAACGTAGCTCTGTTTCATTTGGCTGCTTAAGAACTATGGATGATGCTTTTATAAGTATTGAGAGGCACAGAATTTCCCAACTCCCTGCTGCTGTAGCCTCGGGCTCTTGCACGAAGGTGGAAGGTGGTGTTCTCCAGGTGTCTTCACGCTGTGCTGCAGGCCAGCCTCGCTGACAGCTTGTTTTCTCACACAGAGTTCTCAGAGTATGGTCTGAGGACCTCCGGGATCCTGGAATCCCTTTCAGGGGGTCTGTGAGACCTCCAGCCCTCTTCCCAACTTCCAGTCTGTGTGAGGCCATATTTTCTTTCTCCAGTCCAGTGCGCTGTCTCTCTGCTGTGGGCTGGGTGCAGATAGGAAAGCCCAGCTGTCTTCTATTAGATGAGACCACAGTGATGTACAATTCTGAACAATGCCACTTCTCCATTTTCTGTTTTGGAAAGTGTAATTATTTTTCATGAAATTTGCTGTATGAATTAACATGATATGGGATTTGAGTTTCTTATTGTTTTTTTGTTTGTTTTGTTTTGTTTTTGGGTCCGGTCGTGGGGCCTGAACTCTGGGCCTGGGCGCTGTCCCTCAGCTCTTCAGCTCAAGGCTAGCGCTCTACCACCTGAGCCATAGCGCCACTTCCAGCTTTTTTCTTTTTGCTTATGTGGCGCTGAGGAATCGAACCCAGGGCCTCAGGCATGCAAGGCAAGCGCTCTACCACTGAGCCACCTTCCCAGCCCTCTCATTATTCTTTTAAAACACATTAATATATGCTTTTTAAAATTTGGTGGTGATACTGAGGTTTGAACTCACTGCCTTACATGCTAAAATGTTCTACCACTTGGGACAGACGTCCAGCCCTTATTTTTTGTGCCCGTCCCAGGGCTTGAACTCAGGACCTGGGCACTGTCACTAAGCTTTTTCTCTCAAGGTTAGTGTTCTGCCACAAGCCACAGCTTCACTTCCAGCTTTTAAAAAAAATTAATTGGAGGTAAATGTCTCATGGACACTCCTCCCTGGGCTGGCTTCAAACTGTGATCCTCAGATCTCTGCCTCCTGAGTAGGTAGGATGACCGGAGCAAGCTACCTGCACCGGTGCTTTTCATATTCTTAAGAGTATAAAAGCAGGCTGCAATGCTTGGTAAGAAATGTATGCATTATCCTGCCCATGTAATTGTAACCCCTCTGTACAGTATGTTCTCAAATAAAATAAAATTAAATTAAAAAAAAAAGTATAAAAGCATCCAGGAACCCCTAAGCCAGAAACCATTATGCTGAGAACTTCTGGCTGCTGCAGAATCATACATCCACTGAACGGTCCTCACAGTGCATGGGAAGGAGCCAACACTGATGAATTTCTCTCTGCCTTCGAAGCTTGTCCTATGACAGTGGAGCACACAGCCTTGCAAATGTAGCCAGCTATGTACTGGGCATAAATGCGGAGCCTCCTGGGGCAGACAACTCTGACCTACTATTTTTCTGTCTGGTTCCAGCTCTGCCATGCAGCCAGCCCTGCTGGGGCCTAAGCGACTGTGTGTCCTCCCAGGACCTCTCTGTCCTAGGAGGTCCCTGTCCTTACTGGAGCCCCTCTGTGGTAATCTTCACTTATCTTGACTCCTTCCTTCCCTGCCCCACCCCCTTTCCTGGACTTTGCTCCCAGGGAAGTGGAATTGCATGGCCTCCACGTCAGGCTCCAATCCCCGGGAAGCCAGAGTGGGCTAGAGCCTCAAACAGATGATGGACCTGTTACATCAAAAACAGATAAGGATAATAACAATTAAAGTAGCATCACCGAAATGCTGGGGAAATTTTAGCATTTCAGAAAGGTTTACAACAGCATAGTCTTCTGAAGAAAGAAAGACAGAGAGAGAGAGAGAGAGAGAGACAGACAGACAGACAGACAGACAGAGACAAAGGAGAGAAAGAGAGAACGAGGAAGAAAGGAAGAAGGAAAGAAAAGCCAAGTCTGCTTCATATATACAAGTTGTGTCGTATGATTACAATGCAGACTAGACCTTTGAGAACTTTCAGCTCAGAACTTCTAAGTCAGCAGGACCAGCCTGTCCTTTTACAGTTCTGGGGATGTGTTCCAAGGAATGTTTAATTCACTGGTCCCTTATTGATGGACATTGGAGCATTTCCCAATAGTTTGCCATCTCGAGGATGCAGTGAACATCTCTGTACAAGTATCTTAGTGTGAACTCAGCAGAGGAATTCTGGGTCAGGGTATGTAGTTCTGAAGCCAAACATGGTGGTGTATTCCTGGCATTCCTGCACGAAAAGTACATACATTTCCCATCAGCCCAGCCCAAGAGAACTCAGAGGGGGAGTGAGCCTGAATGCAGCTGAGAGACAGCCTTCACCAGCCATGAGCAGGGGACGGGGCACTGGGGTGAGTGAGCTCAGGAGGCAAACACCAGCATGCAGTGGAGTCAGGCAACAGAAGCCCAGAGCAGCATGTCAGCAGCCGGCGGAGGGGAGGAGATTCTGGATATGACAGCTCAGGCCTGGTGCCCGCTGTCTAGGGGGAAGCTCTTGCCGTCCTCCAAGTCCTAACCCTCACCTCTGGGCTTCTATCATCAAGGTTCCCATCTGTCTGCTGTCTCCAGGCAGGGAAAGGGCAAAGGGGGCTGCGTGCGGGTGAAGGCTGCAGGGCAGGTAAACAGCCTGCCTCCTCTTTCCCGTCAGTCCTGGAGCCTGTCTCCAGGTTACACAAAATCCTGTCCTGTCACCCAGGTGGGAAAAGTTAACTGCCCTCCCTCTCCCTTGGACAGATCCTGGCAGAAAGCTGTGTCCTCAGCTGGAGTCTCTATTCCGAGGTTGCAGGCCATTCAGAAGCTTGGGAGCTTCATGGAAATCCATGGCTGGCCGCGGTGACTCCACTCCGCAGTGGAAGTGCTCCCTTCACCTGCAGGCTGCTCAGTGATCATATCCATGCCCTGACACGCAGCCCTCCTTGGAGGCTCTGCTCGTTGGCTCTGCTGAATTATCAACCTCCCCAAGCTCCCTCCTACCACGTTCTCTGCTCCACAGGTATCTCTGTCAACCTCGGACTCCACACACAGTGGATGAGAATCAGACTGTCTTCGTGTTCTCATCCAGAGGTGGTAATAGGGCTATGATCCAAACTAGTGCTCAAATCATAAAGGAGCAATCACTGTCTCCTAACCACCACGTGCTCTGTGATGCCTTACTGGTGGTGGTGGTGGTGGTGATGATGATGATGACGATGACGATGATGATGATTTTGTAGAAAGGGATTACAATACCATGTCAGGTCATTAGTACAATGATTCTTGGCTAGTGCCATTCCTATTTTCATTCTCCATTTTCCCTCTCCTGTTCCTACCCTCAAGTTACAGTTTGTTTTTGTGTTGTTGGTTTGTTGTTGTTGTTGTTGGTCATGGGACTTGAACTCAGGGCTGACACTGTCCCTGAGCTCTTTGGTTCAAGGCTGGCACTCTACCACTTTGAGCTATAGCACCACTTCCAGTTTTCTGGTGGTTAATTGGAGATAAGAGTCTCATGTCTCTCGGGATTCTCAGATCTCAGCCTTTTGAGTGGCTAGGATTACAGATGTGAGCCACCAGCACCCAGCTCATTAATTACATTTAAGTTACATCCTTTCCTGATGCAGTTTAAGACTTTCTTTGATAAACTCCTTGATTTTTAGTTACGCTTCAGAACATGAACCTGAACTCAGTTAATGTGAGCAGAGGGGTGGGGCTTGCTGTATTAGAGATGAAAAGGAGCACCTGCCTGCTTTCTGTGTCTGACAGATTTTTGGCTGATGGACCACCGTTCTGCAAAAGCAAACTTTGCCTTGCCTGTTCCTTTCGAATTGGTGTCCTTATTCCGACACCACACTCCAACATCCCAATATCTAACAAGAAACAGTCCATCAGTTGTTCAGAGGAGTAGCGTCTTTGGACCCGCCTATAGTCAGCTGTGTGGAAATGCATTGAGCTGTTATCACGCAGAGCTCTATGTGAGATCTAGCTTCCACACATGACAAAATGTGTGACATTTGTCCCTGTGAGCCTGGCTTACTTCACTTAACAAGATTTGTTCTAGATTCATGTGATGTCTAGTTCGGGGAGGAGTACAGAAGGGGAATGCTCTGCACCACTTCCTGGCCACTCTGCACACGGCCCTTACTAACTCAACTTTCACCACCACTCCCCTATTCATGACAGCATGCTTCCTTTCCAAATTTTATCTATGTCTGTCTGTCTATCTGATGTCTGGAGCTCAGGGCCTGTGCTTAACAGATGGGCAATCTACTTCTGATCCCTACCTCCAGCCCTTCTTTCACTTTTATCTTTGAGATGGGGTCTCACTTTATCCCTAGAACCATACTTAGACTAATATCTTTCTAATTCATCCCTCCTGCCACAGCCAGTGACAGGTACATGTCATGACACCAGACTTCTTCCACGGATGCCCTCCACCCCAACTGAGCTGGCCTTGAACCATGATCCTCCTGCTGGCTGCCTCCCGAGTAGCTAGGATTTGGTTCTGAGCCACTACGTCCGACTTGAAATTTCTTTCTTTAACATTTGTTAACATTGGCTGTTAATGGAACCTTGGTCTGTAGAAATCAGTTATTTCAAAGTTGTGCTGACCGATAATCATAATGGTGGAGTGCTGGGTGACACGGTGGGTTGAACACTAGGTATTTATCCTTTGTTATCCAGGCCACTGACCTCTGAGACTCAGGGAAAGAGGCGAGGGGCTCAGCAATTCCACACAGCACTGGGATGAATGTTTCTGCATCCGCAGTTCAGTCTCAGGCATTGGCTCGTCACTCCTGTCTGCCTGACCTCACTGCCCCATGCTCACACACGGCGGCTCTGAAGCCTGTTCACACGGCCCCTCCGTGTGCAGCTGCGTTCTTCTCCACCAATCATGTGACTCCATGCATGCACAAGCTGAATATTGCTCTAGTCCAAGCCAGGAGTCCCCGGCGCACACTCCAAACCCTGGAGGAGCCGAGGTTGCACCCAGCCCACCTGGCTGAGGCTCCAGCGAGGCCTCCAGGGGGTCTCACTAGTGCTCCCAGCCCAGATGCCTCTCCCGCCTCCCAGGCCGCCAAGGTCATAGTGCATCTCCCCGAGCAGAATTCCTAAGGAGCCCACGGCTGGAGCTTTCTGGATCCGGCTAGTTGGGTTGCTCCCCGAGGTGGGTGGTATTTGTGAGTAACCTGTGCACCTGTTCCCACAATTCCACGTACCTCTAGGCCTGAGGGTTGGTAGAATGTTTACCCAGCGATCTGAGAACTGTAAGTCATCGCTAGGTCACTGGTAATGTTGCAGAGCAGCCTCTCCGCAGCATGATGGGTAAGGATGGGGAAAGTCTGCTTGCACAGCGCAGACCCTCGTCCCAACCCTCAACATGTGCCCCAATGCAAACTCTGCTGGCTCGAGGCCTGCAGGCCCGAAGCTGCACCCTCCTCTCTCTGGGGTTTCTTTAATGCCACTGCACCAAGGAGGCTCCAGGGAGAGAATGGAGCTGCCCCCCTCCTCCCTGCCTCCGTCCTCTCCTGCCCACCGAGGCAAATGTGGGAGCCCTATCCTGCCCCTCTGTGCACACCCTCCCCTGTGCCCCCTGTCTGGGGTGAGAAGCCAGCCATACAAGCTATGGCAGACAAGAGACCTGCCAACTTGACCTGGGTGCCTCCCATACCCTGTCTGTGGCCCTGGGTGGTGTGGGCTTGACTGGTGGGGAGGGGCGACCGGAAGGGCCAGGAGCCTGGCGGGTGCTCCGCTGTCCTATGCAACTTCCCCGACAAAGCAAAGGTCAAAGATAAAAATGACGACTTAAAAGACACTGGCCAAACACAGTCCCTCCTGAGCACCATGTTGCAGGCTCGGTTATGTGTCCCTAAAGCCAGCCTGACCAGACTTCTGTAGGGTTTTTTCATCATCATAGCCAGCCTGTAAAGATAGGTGTCACTTCTGCGTCTGCATGTGCAGATAAGGAAGTCAAGGCACAGAGAGAAAATGGCCTGTCTGAGGTTGCTGGCTGACCGAGTTGGAAGGACAAGTTTCCCAACCCATACTGGAGCTGGAATCCATACTTTTGCTCCAGTCTGGGACTCTTGCAAAATATCTGCAGACAGGGCCAGGCTTGGTTCAAGTCTGTAACCCTAGCTACCGTGGAGGCTGAGATCTAAGGATGGAGGTTCAAAGCCAGCCCAGGCAGGAAAGTCCATGGGATTTTCCCAGTTAACGGCATGCAGACAGGTCTGCGAGTGGAGCTGCGACCTGAGTGGTAGAATGCTAGTCAGGGACAGTGGCCAGGCTCTGGGTTCAAGCCCCAGGACTGACAAACAAAAGCCCTTGCCGAACATATAAATTCAGAATGGATGGCCACATGCCAGGGCCCCCAGGGAAAGCGTGCCCTCACTGGCTGTGCCCTGCCCCCTGCCGCAGGCAGAGGCCAGCACGCTGGCCCACAGTAAGGCAGTGAAGGAGCCGGGCCTGTGCTGGGCTGGAACTGGCAGGGCTGGGTTGGAGGGCATGGGGGCGGGGGAGGGGGAATGCTGCATCCCTCCTGGGGTTGTAAGGTCCTGGTTCATCTGGAAAGGACTTCATGAGCTCTTGCTGCCTATCAGCCAGACCTGGGCTAACTCCGACCTTCACGACCATGCTCTGGCTCTCTCCTGGTGTCCCTCGCCAGAAGTGGTCCCAGCCATCAGAGCAGGTGCACGCTCGTCAACCTCGGCTGTCGCCGAGCAGTGAAGGAGAGTGGCCTGCCTGAGGCGGACGCGGCCAGTGGTGTGCTGGCAACTGTGTGGCACGGCTTGTGGCAGGTGTGACAACTCTTCCCTGCCCTCCCCGCCCCCATCTGGGACTGTTTAAATGCTCGGAAGCAGCAGTCCCAGTTCACCCTATGGGATGGCCAACACGGGTGGGATTGGAAGAGGCGCTGCAGGGTAACCTCCTTCACCACGCGTGCCAAAGCACACTTCCGGGAAGCGAGGCCCTACAGGCCCCAGGACAAAGGAAGAACCAGGCAGGGCACAAAAAGAGGTGGGGCTCAAATTCCTAGAAAATCTCCACCCACTCCCAGAAGATAGGAGAACATTCCTCTTGGATTGGCCCTGCTCTCCTCTCCTTCGTCTTAGGGAGGCCTGGGTTACCACTGTCACTCGCCCCAGCCAAGAGTAAGCCTTCACTGCTCCAGTAGGGCGCAGCTACTGTTTGAAGGGGGAAAGGCCAGTTTATGTCAAAGCAAATCGGTTACATCCCTGTTTGGAGGTCTTTTTGGTTTTGTTTGGATAGAGGTCTGGCCTGTTTTGCCTATAGCTGGTCTTGGCCATCAATACACTAACCTATTCCTTCCAACTAGCTGGGATTACAGGCATGAACCAAGATGCCAGACTAGAAGGGTTTTGTTTTGTGTGTGTGTGTGTGTGGGTTGTGGGGCAAGTGCTCTACCACTTGAGCCACAGTGCCATTTCTGGTTTTCTGGTGATTTATTGGAAATAAGAGTCTCGGGGCTGGGCTGGGAAGGTGGCTCAGTGGTAGAGCACTTGCCTTGCATGCTCGAGGCCCTGGGTTCGATTCCTTAGCACCACATAAGCAAAAAGAAAAAAGCCGGAAGTGGCGCTGTGGCTCAAGTGGTAGAGTGCTAGCCTTGAGCTGAAGAGCTGAGGGACAGCGCCCAGGCCCAGAGTTCAGGCCCCACGACCGGACCCAAAAAAAAAAAAAAAGAAAAAGAAAAAAAAGAGTCTCATGGACTTTCCTGCCTGGGCTGGCTTTGAACCGCAATTCTCAGATCTTAGCCTCCTGATTTTCTAGGATGACAGGCGTGAGCCACTGGTGCCCGGCTTAGACTTGAAGTTTTGACAATCTGTTCCTGCTAGCGGGCAAGAGCCCCTAACTCCATATACCTTTGCACAGTCCTTCTGTCAAGTATGATATGTATGTCAAAGTAGAAGACCATTTCACTGGATGCCGGTGGCCTATGACTGTCATCCTAGCAACTCAGGAAGCTGAGATCTGAGAATCTTGGTTCAAAGCCATCCCAGGCAGGAAAGTCCATAAGACTCTTATCTCTAAAAAGCCAACAGAAAACCAGAAGTTGTGCTGTGTTGCTCTAGTGGTAGGACACTCTCCTTGAAAGAGCTCAGGGGCAGCACCCAGGCTCAGAGTTCAAGCACCATGACCACCAGCACCACCACCAAAGAACTGAGGGAGTGTTCAGGCTGAGTTCAGCCCCACAATGGACACACACACACAGAAGCACGACACGACACATTTCATGTGAATGGAGGTCTTAATTATTACAATGGCACAGGATGAGAAAAAGTAGCTTCAGTGTTAGTAGAAGCAATGTCACAGGTCCACAGCAGGGACCCAGGCTTTAGGTAAGTGTGTTTGGCTTGAACCTGGCTGAGGTTTGATACCCGAGAGACCTGTCCCTCAGGAAGACAGGGCTTTGAGCCCCAGAGGAGATTGGATATTAACATGCTTTGATTTGAAAGGTGCTGCGGAATTCCCAGAGTAAAGTCTCAGACTCTAGAGCTCTCTGTGTATATCTAGAGAGTAAACAAGGTAAAGGTGGGGAAAAAACAAAACACATAAATGATCTAATTTTGTTGTGAAAAAGTATCACCCACAATGAAGACATATTTGTCCCTCCTTCAATAAATATCCTTTGGTGGATTTTTCTTGAATTTTCTGCCCATTGTCCCTTCCCCAACATCATTAGCACAGGTATCTGTGTTCCTGCTATCTATGTGAACATAGTCAGAGTATGGACTTTAATCAGAACTGACCTCATTCTACTCTTTTTACTTCCTTCCTTCCTTCCTTCCTTTTTGTCGAGCGTTCTACCACTTGAGCCACAGCGCCACTTCCAGCTTTTTCTGCTTATGTATGTGGTACTGAGGAATGGAACCCAGGCCTCATGAAGCAAGGCAAGCACTCTACCACTGAGCCACCTTCTGAGCCCCCATCTTTTTAACTTCTTTTTTTTTTGGGGGGGGGGTCCGGTCGTGGGGCCTGAACTCTGGGCCTGGGTGCTGTCCCTCAGCTCTTCAGCTCAAGGCGAGCGCTCTACCACTTGAGCCACAGCACCACTTCTGGCTCTTTCTGCTTATGTGGTGCTGAGGAATGGAACCCAGGGCTTCATGCATGCAAGGCAAGCGCTCTACCACTAAGCCACCTTCCAGCCCTTATATAGTCATTGTTACAATGTTACAATTTTCTGCCTTCGGTTTGTTCAGTTTAATAATTTTCATCCAGAGCATTTCCATCTCCTTTGTCAAGTTTCTTCTCAGTTATTTAACTTTTTTTGAGGCTATGGGAGTTTTCCTGATTTGTTTCTCAGTCTGTTATTGGTATATAGAAAAGCTGCTCATTTTTTTAAATGTTAATTTTATGTTCTTTGCCTAAGGTGTTTAGATCTTAGTTTTTTGAGTCTTTTAAATAAAGGATGATATTATCAGCAATCAAGGGCAATTTGACTTCTTTCCTCTTTGTATCTCTTTCATTTATTTCTCTTGCCTTATTGCTTTATTTAGAATACAGGCACTATATTGAATAAGAGTGAATAGGGCAGACGTTCTTCTTTCATTCTTGACTTTAGAGGAAATGATTTCAGTTTTTTCCTGTTTAGGGGATGTTGGCTGTAGGTTTGTCTGTTCTGCTGAGTGAAGGACATCCCTTCTGTGTCTAGTTTTACAGAGCTACATCACTAGGAGAGTGTTTCATGATGATTCAGTATCAGGAAAGGATACTGAATTTTGTCAAAGGCTTTTTCTGCCTCTGCCAAATGGTAAACATTGAGTAATGTGATTTTTTTGTTGTTGTTGGTCGTGTGGCCTGAACTCTGGGCCTGTGCGCTGTCCCTCAGCTCTTCAGCTGTAGACTAACGCTCTACCACTTGAGCCACAGCCCCACTTCCGGTTTTTTCTGCTTATGTGGTGCTGAAGAATCGAACCCAGGGCCTCATGCATGCAAGGCAAGCGCTCTACCACTGAGACACCTTCCCAGCCAGAAATGTGATTTTTAAAAATATAATTGTGCTGTTGTTATTAAGGTGTTATACGGAGGAGCTATCATTTCCTAAGTCAGGTAATGAGTACATTTCTTTTTTTGGACAATGTCACCCCTTCCTTTGCTTTCCCCTGGTTCCCCCTCCCATCCGCACCCGCAAGTTACACAGTCCATCTTCCACAGTCACGTGCTTTTTGTCCTTTAATCTGCTTATGTTCTGAATCGTGTTTTCTGATTTGTGAGTTGAATCCTCTCCTGTAGCCCTGTGGCGGACTAACTTGATCACAGTAGATGATCTTTTTTTAATGTGTTGACTTCGGATTGTATTTTATTGAAAATCTTGGCACTTACAGAATTTGCAAATAATTTTCTGTGTTTGTTGTGTCTTTCTCTAGTTTTGGAGTCTGGCATTTTCTGGGTGTCTATGGGGTACTGAACAGAGCACTGGCCGGGAGAGAACTGAGGGGCTGGATGGACACCTGGCTTGCTGGCTCAGTTTACTCAGCTGCCCCACAATTCACCTGTGCGAAGAAGGAGACCACCGGAGTCACGTCATTCACAAGGCTCTGGAACCTTCCTAGGAGCTAACACATGCAGTTGGGAGGCAGCTCCACAAGGCCAAATTCTATGCCAGACGCAGGCCCAATGTGTGGGCCCAATGCTCAGGCCACGGAGGGCAGGGCCTCCGACCAGAGCAGCCTTCCCTGCGGGAGCCACGCAAGACTTGAAGTTCTCTCCAGGTCCACATCAAACCTTCACACTCCCCACCTCCATCTCTCAGGTTCAGCCTCACCTAGACCCTGGAAGGGCAGTCCACGAGGCCCGGGCTGCCGCGGTGCCTTGTTTTCAAGCGCCTGGAGTAGCTGAGACGCAAGCAGTAGGCCCCTCACAGCTCCAGGTGAGGGGAGCCCCGGGATGGCTGTCTACTCAGGCAAGCCCTCCGCGCGGGGGGCGGTCACCGTCTCACCCAGTCCTTGCGCTGGGCTCAAGGCTTGCTGGAAGTGCGGGCCTGCCTTGGGGTGAAGAGCTGGTCGACTTGCCAGGGATATCTGTGTGCCTGGAGGTGGAGTCTTCAGTGTCTCCTCCCGCACTGGGGAAGCAGGGGAGCAGCTTGCAACGGCTGCTTCAGTCTCTGCTTTTCTGCTTCCCACTGCATCCTTCCTGATCCCTCATCCTCTTCCTCTCCTCAGACCATGGAATCTCCTCTGATGACCAACTCTTCTTATTCAGAGTCAAAACAAAAGGTGCTTCTAGCCCACCATCTTGCCCCCTAGCTCTTGGAAGGAGCTCCCACGAGGGTGTTAAACAAAGGTTTGAACATGGGTGGAAGGGTGCGCTGCACCGAATCTCTTCTTTGGGCCTTTGGATAGAAGTTTCCTGGGCTTCTCTAGGTGAAGCACCTCATAGTGACCTGAGTTAGAAACACAACCAATTGGGCTGGGAAGGTGGCTCAGTGGTAGAGTGCTTGCCTTGCATGCATGAGGCCCTAGGTTCGATTCCTCAGCACCACATAAGCAGAAAAGGGCAGAAGTGGCACTGTGGCTCAAGTGGTAGAGTGCTAGCCTTGAGCTTAAGAGCTGAGGGACAGCGCCCAGGCCCAGAGTTCAGGCCCCATGACTGGCAAAAAAAAAAAAAGAAACAAACAAACACAACCAATTAAGGACACAGAACTTGCAGATGGCAACATGAACGAAACTAGCCTGGTAATGAAATAGGTACGGGGGCCACAAAAGCATGAGGAAGTAAGGACAAGACAATGCCAACCTCACAGGAAGCAGAAAGGAGACCTGCACCCATCAGAATGGCATCTTCAACAAGCCCAGTTCCCACGAACCAAAGGCCGAGCTCTGTAGGAAGACAGCCAAGATGGAATCCATGAGCTCCAGCACTGCTTCCCGTGCTTGTCCAGGTGCATGCTCTCTTTTTCTGCTATACTTCTTTTCTAATGCACTTTTCCCGTCACCTTTACTACATTCAAGTCTCACCAGACGCAAGGACCAGGGTGTTTAGGTGTTCTAAACTTTCTGGTAAGGTGTCTGGTGAGTTGTGGGGAAGTGGGAAGTCAAGT